TACAGAATAGTGTGGAAAAAAGAAGGTGACGGGTATAAAATACGGTGAAATTAAAAAAATAATAGATTTAAATTGATTTTAATTTACTTTCAATTTACTTTCAATTGATTTCAATTTATTTTTAATTTGTTTCAAATTACTTTGAATTGATTTTAATTTCATTTCAATTTATTTCAATTTATTTTCAATTAATTTCAATTTATTTTCAATTGATTTCAATTTATTTTCAATTAATTTCAATTTATTTTTAATTGATTTCAATTTATTTTTAATTGATTTCAAATTATTTTCAATTGATATGAAATTACTTTCAATTGAATTCAAATTATTTTTAATTAATTTCAAATTATTTTCAATTGATTTCAATTTACTTTGAATTGATTTCAATTTACTTTGAATTGATTTCAATTTACTTTGAATTGATTTCAATTTATTTTGAATTGATTGCAATTTACTTTCAATAGAAAGATCATAGAAATAACATGGAATAGCATAGGAACCACAAAGAAATCCCATAAAAATTCCAATAATAATCCCATAGAAATATTATAGAAACATCATGGAAATACCTTGGAAATCCCACAGGAATCCAATAGAAATACCATTAAAGAATACCATTAGAACTCCATAGTATCCTTCAGAAATCCCATAGAAATCCTCCAGAGAGACATAGAAAAACATCAGGAACACATAGGAATTCCTAGAAATCCAATAGAAATACCATAGAAATCCCTTAAAGGAAAAAAAAACTGTTAGCAAAGGAAAAGGTAAAGGCAATAATTGAAAAAATCAAAAAATCATGATTTCAGAAAGAATTGGAACAATATATACCCTCAAACAAACCACATTCATTATTGTGTATCATGGTTTGCTCATGGACTACGCCTTGAAAAATTGTCTGAATGATGTTTTTAAGTGGCTTTAAAAAAACCTAGCAGATATTTTGGAAAATGGCATTTCTGAGAATTCAAAGTAAAATAAATGCAAAAGGAATTTAATGAAACGGAGAAAAAACCTTTATTTAGCAAAGGAAAAGGTAAAGGAAATAATTGAAAAAAATCAAAAAATCATGACTTCAGGAAAGCAATTGGACACAATAATATACCCTCAAACAAACCACATTATTGTGTATCATGGTTGCTCATGGACTACCCCTTTGAAAAATTGTCTGGATGATGTTTTTTAATTGGATTTTAAAAAAATATCATATATTTTGGAAAATTGGGCATTTCTGAGAATTTCAAATAAAATAAATTATAAAAGGAATTAATTAAAAGGAAAAAACCTTTATTTAGCAAAGGAAAAGGTAAAGGAAATGATTGCAAAAAAAATCATGATTTCAGGAAAGCAGCTGAACACAATAATGTACCCTCAAACAAACCACACTATTGTGTATCATGCTTGCTCATGGACTATTCCTTTGAAAAACTATCTGAATGATGTTTTTTAATTGGGTTTTAAAAAAACATCATATATTTTGGAAAAATGGGCATTTCTGAGAATTTCAAATAAAATAAATTATAAAAGGAATTAATTAAAAGGAAAAAATCTTTAGCTAGCAAAGGAAAAGGTAAAAAAAATAATTGCAAACAAAATCATGACCTCAGGAAAGCAGCTGGACACAATAATATACCCTTAAAGAAACCACACTATTGTGTATCAGGGTTACTCATGGACTACCCCCTTGAAAAATTAATTGAATGATGTTTTTTAATTGGGTTTTAATAAGACATCATATATTTTGGGAAATTGGACATTTCTGAGAATTTCAAATAAAATAAATTATGAAAGGAATTAATTAAAAGGAAAAAAATTTAGCTAGCAAAGGAAAAGGTAAAGAAAATAATTGAAAAAACCAGATATCATGACCTCAGGAAAGCAGCTGGACACAATAGTGTACCCTCAAACAAACCACACTATTATGTTTACCTGGAGTAAGTAAATTTCTGGGGAAGACCACATGGAAAATAAGAAATAAAAGAAAAAAAATAACATATAAAAAAAATAAAAAATATTTCAACAAAAAACAAGACCAAGACACTATTGTGTATCCCCTGACACTATTTTATAATTAAAAAAATATTATAATTAAAAATAATTAAAAAAAATAATTTAAAATAAAATAAAAATAAATGAAAAAAATATTATAATTAAAAATAATTTTAAAAAAAATAAAAATAATTAAATTAAAAATAATTAAAATTAAAAATATTTAAAAAAAATAATAATTTAAAATAAAATTAAAAATAATTAAATTAAAAATAATTAAAATTAAAAATATTAAAAAAAAAATAACATAAAAAATAATTAAATTCAAAATAATTATAATTGAAAATATAAAAAAATAATAATTTAAAATAAAATAAAAATTAAATTAAAAATTATTATCATTATAAAAATAAAAAATAATTAAAAACTAAAAATAATAATAAAAAACAAAAAAAACATTACACCAAAATCCTGTGGACACAAATCTGTACCCTCAAACATTTCCAAAATAACAAAATAATTTTGGAGTCTGTGGACACAATTGTGTATTCCCACACTAATCTGTATCCAACATTATATAATTTCATTATTGAATATTTCGTATAAAATTATTATATCCATTTTTAAATTATTTGACGGAAAAATTCGAATAATATATCGATTCAATTTAATTTGATTTTCGGGGGGATAATCCAATAGTGGACCCATTATTCTCTATTAGGAAATTTGGAGATATTTGCGAATAAGATAATAAAAAATCATATTAAATCTCTTAGATTGGGAAAAATCTTTGACAAAATTAATCACAAGAAAATATTCCTCTCCTTTGAAAGATTGAATATTCCCAACGATATATTTAATATCGTTAAAATTATCTATAATAATCCGATATTTCAAATAATTCAAAAAAGATAAATTCAATACGTGATTTCCTCAAAATATTGACATATAATATCATTTAAATCCATATCTTTGTATCTTGATCATATATACTATTTTTCATAATATTCAAAAAAAATATAACGACCCTCATCATTCCAAATCCTTCCAAGGCATCAATTTCCATGAAATTCTTTAGGTGGATAATATATGAATCGTGGTAGTAAAAATTACGTCAATATTTAAATATTTTTATTCTCCACCTGTCAGGTGAGAATTATTAGATTTTATAATAATTGCCTTCCTCCTGCTCCTCGACTAGCTATCCTCCTCCTACTCCTCCTGCTCCTCCTACTCCTCCTCCGTCAATATCTCCTCCACCACCTCTGCCCCCACTTCCACGTCACCTGTTGCCTTGCCAACTCTTCGCCAAGCTCTTTGCCAACGTCCGAGCTCAGTATGCATCGCTAGACCTCAACCTGGGACCTGCCCAGCTTAATGGGCACCGCTGGACCTTAACCTGGGACCTTCCCAGCTCAGTGTACAGCGCTCGACCTCAACATGGGAGGTGTTCAGCTCAGTGTACACCGCTGGACCTCAATCTGGGACCTGCCCAGCTCAGTGTGCACTGCTGGACCTCAATCTGGGACCTGCCCAGTTCAGTGAGCACCGCTGGACCTCAACGGCCAGATAGAATGCCAGAAAATATGT